GATTAAGTTTGCTTATTTTAATTTTAGTTTACAAGCGTTCGTTGATTGAAGATTTGGACTCGGAAACGAGCGGATATTTCAAACAACTATTAATTACATTTGCACATGTAGGTAAAGTTTTCCAGTTGTATATGCACCACTTGGTATTAGAATAGATCATCATTTATTGTGCTACCAAATGGATAGACAATAACTGCAATGATGATGCTGATGGTGAAGAGGAAACTTATGAATATAATGATGACGAGGAGGAGCATGGTGATGATAAAAGTAATAATGATGATGATGTATTACTGAATACAAATTAATTATGATTATGCCACTATTTATGATAATGATGATGGAGATGATGATGATAATAATAAGGTTTTATACCTCCTGGATAATAAGGATTATGATGATGACGACGATGATGATAATGATGATAATGGTATAATTCAGCTTGAACGCAAAATAATATTCCTTTCACCGTTGGGTATTCGTTATCACACAAAGGCGTAAGTAAATATTATTAATATTCTTATTGATTTCGAACACATGATGAACAGACGTTGAAGTCAACTTGTTCGACCATACGTGCATTTATGCATTTGATAATTCTAATAAAGTTGGACTATAATAATCCATGGCTATTTGTTGAAATAATCTCTTACAATTTTTGTTTATTTCCAGGCTACTCGCGACGAGAGCGAGACGGTGGATTTAACAAGAGCCCGCCATGACGCAAAAGTGATTTTCGAAGTAAATGTCATAAATTACAAAACCAATATTTGATATTTGTTTTTTTTTTTTAATTATTATCATCATCATCACCATCATCATTCTCATTATCATCCATTGTTATTATTATTATTATTATTATTATTATTATTATTATTATTATTATTATTATTATTATTATTATTGCTGCTGTTTTTGGTATTAATATTATCTCTCATTAAAAAATATAATATAAGATATTGCAAAATAAAGAAAATATTAAACAAAAAAACACGTACAAATCACTGACACGTGTTTTTTTTAATTTTTTTTATTGAGTTTAGATTTTTGTTCCAATTATAACATCGCTTTTAGTGAGAATCGTACGAATTCAATTACATTATGTTTGTTCTATGTGTTCACCTTATATATTTTAGTAAGCCTAAATGCATGCTAATTCTATATATGAATTCATTCATTTGCTGTATGCAATAACAAGTGATATTCTCATTACACAGGCTGGCGAAGGTCAATGGGGAATTGATAAATCTGAAATAAATGAAGTTCTTGAAAATCGCAGTGACGCTCAATTGAGAGCAACATTTAAAGCATATGACGAGGTGATTTTTGCTATACTGTATTGTTCGTCTTTGTTTTGAAAAAATATATCAGGGGTCCCATGTCTCCCATTGTTTTTCTTTTTTATTATTTTATTTATTCATTTATTTCTATTTTATTTTTAATTTTGTCACTTTTAGTTCTTTATTTAGTTTTTTTAATATTTATTTTTACTTTATTTTTTAAAAATTATTTTTATGTATTTATTAATTAACTTTTTGTTTATTGATGTTTATATCTGAGTCTTTCTTTTCCTTTCGTTTATGTTTGGTAAACTGATTTCTTTTTACTTCTGTATGGTTTTGCTTTGTACATGAATTTTTCCTGTAATGTCTTTTTTTTTATTCCTTTTGTATGATTTTGAGCATGTAATAAAAACAAACAAACAATCAACCTCCCGGGAGTCGCGAGTCCCTCAGAAATCAGGACGGCCTCCCGCAATCCGACAAGCAAGCAAGCAAGAATCTCTAGAAAATAACTCATCTCCCACACATTCATAATATTATTGCACGCAAATCGAACCAAATCAGTTTTATCCGCAGTTAGTTAGAACTGTGCATGTCCGTATCTAGGTCAATTGACATCAAGTCATATGGATACGAGCATGCGCAGCTCCACCACGAATTGGCTTATTGTTGCTACATTTAATTGAATACCATATTATTAGTTTAACCATAGAGATAGAATAGTACCTTCATGGCTTTAAGAACTTGTTTTTGTAGAAAACTAGTAGTAAACAGTGGTAATATGTCTAAATATTTTGTACAGATTTCAGAGCTTGGAATAGAGGGCGCAATTAAAGACCAAGCCAGCGGCGACATACAAGAAGGGTATCTTGCAGTCAGTAAGTATCCTATCCGTCGATGTTGATTTCCATCTTGTCACTATAAAAAATTCAATAACAATACTATTACAAATAACGATCATGATAATGGAGGTAATGATGGTGATGATGATGATGATGACGACGACGACGACGATGATGATGATGATGATGATGATGATGGTGATGATGATGGTGATGGTGATGACGATGATGATTATGATGATGTTAATTACTAATTGTACAAGGACAAAAGATCTATTTTTGAAAGCATACCTGTTTCACAGTAAAAACTGCATGCAATCCAGCAAAATTCTTCGCCGAGAGAATCTACCACTCGATGCAAGGACTCCTTAAGGATGATGACCAGCTCATTCGTGTAGTTATTTCACGCTCTGAGGTAAAACAAATGCATTTTTACAAACTTAACTTCTTCAGTAAGCACCGCCCCTTGGATAACGCGTAAACGTACCGTACGTCTTTATTGGACCTGTTTTGATCGGTCAGTTGTTTACGTTTTATTGACATGGCAGTTCTGTAACACATCCAATTCTTTATACCGTGTGTTATTCTGGAATACAACTTCATACAATGCATTTTAGGTTAGAAAATGTTTAGAGGGAATTTGTATTTTTTCAAACCCCCTTTAACTACAGAATCGGAATATGATTATTAAATAACGCGGTAATAGCCCCTACGTATAATATAAGCTTCACAGAACGTTCTTATCATTACCTGAGCGTTGCAATAATCACGGACACAATAATATTATTATCGGAAATTATCATCATCAATATTATCATCATCATTATCAAACATCAACCAAATCTATATTATCTACATAGGCATAACCATTATTATCCTCATCCCCACCATTACCATCATTATAAATTGGCAGCGAGAGGTCGCAGGTTCAAACCCCGTCGGAGGCATTTTATTGCACAATGTATTTATCTATTTATGGGACAACATTCGTTGAGAGCTATGCTACTAAATACACTATATGTTTATGCTATATATACTAATTGCTATGCTATACACGATGTAAGTAGCATAGCTCTCAATATTCCTTAAGAGCTATGCTACTAAATACACTATGTTATATGCTATATACTAACTGCTATGCTATACACGATGTAAGTAGCATAGCTCTCAACATTCCTTGAGAGCTATGCTATTAAATACACTATATGTTATATGCTATATATACTATGTTATGCTATACACGATGTACCATTGTTCTTTATTCGAACACTATATTTATCTTTCCTTGATCATTTATATATATATATATATAATTTTTTATTACATATATATATATATATATATATATATATATATAATTTTAATAAAGTTTAA